CAAGCCTGTGTAAAAAGGGTTTAGGGGTCGCAAGGTCTGAGTCCTGCTTGTAACATGCACATACGTTCCTAGCTGGTCTTTATTCTTTCCTGGATCGCTGGGGCCGCAGTCATCCAGCGGTGACAGGAAATCCTCCGGCTGTTTTCGGCGAAGCCTGAACCCAAAATCTCGGAGTAACAACAACATCTTCAATTTCAGAGAAAGGCCGAGAAAGCAGATTGAAGCTACAGACGCTGGACAGAGTCGCGTCTGCTAATGCCAGGGGGGGAGCTCGTAGACACTACGAAGAGGAAAAACCGCTGAAAAGCAATGCTTCGCAGAGCCCTCGGAAAACTCAGGAGCATCCAGACTATCCCTCAACGGCCGTGATCTTTCCACAATGTGTCGGCGTCTGGTTTGCTTCCACTGTGACTTTGCGGCGCTTGGCATTCATTTTTTTGATTTGGAGAAGCGGCAGAAGGCAGCGGCAGGCTGTTCAAGCTCCACGCCAAGATCAGGGGGCTAAGAACTTGGTCTTGCTTGTTCCAAAAAGATTGTCGGACAAGTTGTAACAAAGCGCACTTTGAGGAGACGGTGGAAGCAAATGCCAACCAAAATTCAGGCACTGCCCAAGAGTCCAAGGCCATCTATGTCATTTACTCCGGCATTGCCCGCTTGAGAAGAAAGCCGGTTCTGCATTCTGTGATACGGCCTGCTTTCATAAGCGGCTGCATCTGGTCAGTGGGTTTCCTCTTCATGATCAAAGGCATCCACCAGCCACTGGCATGCATTTGTATCCCTTACATGTTTCACGGTGTCAGTTTCTTATTAGAAGAATTAAGACATGGTTCCAACTGTTTGCAGTTTCCGGAGCCATAGATTTTTAGGCATGCAGTCGCCTCGTTGCAGGCTTGGCTTCGCAGTGGGATACACCTTAGTTGCTGTTGGCCCGATCATCGTGGCAAGCTTGGCATACTTGGCCTTAGGTAGCCACGAGGGAGCCATATCCAAAACTTCGAAATTAATACGGTTTTCAACCAGTGAAGAGAACACATGTGTGACAAGCAAGTCACTTGAACAGCTGTTGAGCTCAGGTTCAAAGAAATAACCGGCAGGAGGCAACTTTTGCGCTCCCGCTGCAGTTTGCTTGTGGAAGCAGCCTTTCTGCGTCTGTTGCTTGTATTCGTAAGCTTGTGTCATGTCACTGTTCAGCTAGAGGCTGCGCGAATTGTTCAGTGGTGACACAAGAGAGTGTCAGAGAGAGAGCAAGCGAGCGAGTGTGTGAGAGAGAAATGAAAGGAGACTCCTCCGCTTGAGTATGTCGGTCATTCCTATTAGCCAGTGAGTCCAACCGACGTGCGTTTCAAATTTTTTAAATTCAATTGCTGGCCCATTTAAGTTTTCAAAAGAACAAAGATTTCCAAACTTTTAGATGGTTTTCCACTTTCCAAAACCAGGGGGCCTCACCCATTTTATTTTTAAGGATTTTAAAAGTTCAGGGGCATTGCAATTCTAAAATTTCTAAAGTTTAAATGCTGGCCCATTTAAATTTCAAAAAATAAAGGTTTCAAAACTTTAAATGGTTTATTGCTTTCCAAACCAAGGGCCTCACCCATGTAAATTTTGAAGATTTTAAACAATTTCAGGGCATTAAAACTTTGAAAAGTTTAAACTTCAAATGCTGCCCCATTTATGTCTTAAGAAATTTAGAGGTTTTTAAATCTGAAATGTTTTCAATTTTCCAACCCAAGGGCCTCACCCATTTAAACGTTAAAGAATAAAAAAAATTAAGGACGTTAATTTTCCAAAATTTGGTAGAATTTAAATGCTGGCCCACTTGAACTTTAGAATTTTTCGAAAATGTTTAAAACTGTTAAATGCTTTGATTTTTGCACAACCAAGGGCTTGGACTATTTAGACCATGTATTTTTGTAAAGATTTGAAGGGAAATAAGGAAAGCTATAGAAAATTTTGAAATTTAAATGGCTAGCCGATTTAAATTTTGCTGACAATCTCTGTGGCAGTGCATTGAGTACTCTGTAGCTACGTGAATATTGTAATGTGAATGTAAATACTGAAAGCAAACAGGGGCGGTTCGATAGCACCAAATTTTCTCACTACTGCTGCTACTGCTACTGCTGCTACAACAACAACAACAACTACTACTACCAATACTAATACGACTACCAATAGTAATACAAATACGAATATTAAATACTAAATACTAATTACTAATACTAGTACTAATACTAAAACTAATACTAATATTGAAACTAATACTATTACTAAAACTAAAACTAATACTAATACTACTGCTACTGCTCCAGCTCCTATTGCTGCTGCTGCTGCTGCTACTGCCACTGCTGTTGCTGCTGCTCTTCTACTTCTCTACTCCTCTTGCTGCTGCTGCTGCTGCTCCAGCTAGTGCTACTGCTACTACATGCTGCTGCTGCCACGACTACTACTATTACTACTACTACTGCTGCTGCTGCTGCTGCTGCTGCCGGGGCTGCTGCTGCTGCTGCTGCTGCTGCTGCTGCTGCTGCTGCTGCTGCTCTCTCTCTCTCTCTCTCTCGAGCGCGACAGACGTCCGAGTCCGCCTAGCGAAGCCAATGGGCAGGTATTTGTACCCGGCTACCCGTGGGCAGCAATGTCTCTGACACTCCCAACAAATAACGAATGAGTGCACTGACACCGCTCCGTAGAGCCAAGCATGTCAGCCGGCCCGGACCGTATGCCTGTACACACTTATGCATATGCGTTTGTATGTACATGTGCTTTGCATAAAAACCATGCACAACTTCACATATACGTACACACGCACGCAGTATGTGCATAATGTTCACACATTATGTACATAATACATTCAAAAGACATGCCCTTACGTATATATATATATATATGTACATTCATGTATGTATGTATGCATGCATGCATGCATATGCATATGTACATGTTTATGTTTATGCTTATGCTTATGTTTATGTTTATGTTTATGTTTATGTTTATGTTTATGTGTATGTATGTATGTATGTATGTATGTATGTATGTATGTATGTATGTATGTGTAAACCTGTATAGAGATGTAGTATCTGAACAATACTACTTCTACACCATATGGTGGGCACATGTGCACACCCTTTCTCTCTCTCTCTCTGTCTCTCTCTCTCTCTATTTCTATATATATGTGTATATATATATATATATGTATATATATATATATGTAACATACATTTCTATGCATGTATATCACAGGCAACCAATACATGGTATGTGCATGTATATGTATAAATGTTCGTACAGATATAGATGTAGTTATATGTTGAGACAGATAAACACACTACATGCCCAACTACTAAGTGCAGGGATGTACTCATGTATATGGTGTATATGTACATAGGTATGCATGCATGCATGCATGTTTCTATCTGCAGGTTTATGGTGCATACATGCATGTGTGTGTATATACACCGACGGAGCGCGATGTGTACTGTCAAGGCAGCAGTCCTAGACCGGTTGGTCGGCAAACGCGCGGCCCTGACTTAGCTTACATGACCTCATGTGAACGCTGCCAGCGAGAGAGCGAGACAGAGCGAGAGAGAGAGAGAGAGAGATGTGTGTGTGTGTGTGTAGACATGCTCTCGGGTCCCGGCCCCCCTAACCTCCCCCCATGGTATCCTATCCTCCCCCTATGGTACCCAAGCCCTGCGCTGTGCGGAAATACTTTCTCGCAGCAGACATGAATTACGATGCTGAATCATGAGGGTTGTATGGCGATGGTGATGAGGGATTCGTTCGATGTCAAAACTGATCTGATTGTCGACTCGCGTCGCCGTCTAGAGCAGCACAACATCATGAGCAGTACCACCGGTGCCACAGCAAGACGGAAGATAAAGAGTAACACATCAGAACTTCAAGAACGGCGGATGCGGGCCGCACGGGCCGCTCGACCATAGTAGATGCAATTGTCAACATGAATGGTGGTGGAGAAGATCGGAACAAGTGCTCTTAAAGTTCCACGTAACAGTAGTTGAATCACTGATCGTGACAACAGGTCCTTGTGTTAGACGTGTTGCATACTCCAATTCAGGCCAACCAAAGACTCAGCTAATGGGAGTGCAGAGCCCACACAACAACGAAACCACGGGGCGGGGTGAGGATGCAGGGGCGAAGGGCACCACCACAGGCCCCACCCCGCAGGGCGGGGCGGGGAGGATACCATGGGTTGGGGGGTGAACGGGGGGGGGGGGGTTTAGCCCTGCATCATATATCTGTGTGGGTTGCTGTACACACGTATGTGTGGACACGACAGATCCATAACGCGAGCTCGGTCCCACCCGGGACTTGTGCCGGCTGAAAGAACAGTCTCCATCAGCTGAATGATCGCTCAAAAGCCCAGCCTCGCATCAAGAGCATGCAAAATCCGTTTAGAGTTCTTTGCCGCTTGAATTCTGAGGATTTATTGGTCAGCTGAAGCTCTTCAACTCCTTGGCGTGATTTTAATTACGGCCTTTAGCCAGCAGTGAGGCTGTGGACTGTGCAGCTGCATGTGCCTCTTCCTCAGGCCCTACTTAGCCGGCTTCTGCTCCTTTGCACGGCTCGTGTTCAAGACTGCAAAGGTTAGTGTGCTTACAGAATTTATAGACTAAGTGCGCCAACAACGGAGCGGGCGAGTGACATGTGTGCTTTGGTCATGTACAGGAGCCCGGCCAGCAGAAGCAGCAAAGCTGCAATGCACTGGTGGAGGCGGCTGTGGCATCTCGACAGAATCCGTTTCGGCAGGGCCCCAGTCGTTATCGTTCCACGGCCGGGCAGTTCTCGGCACCAAAAGACTTCAGAAGATGAGACTCATGCCGACTCCAAAAAGGTCGCAACTGCACCCGGGCGGTTCGTGACACTGTGGTTCGGCCTTCGTGGGTTCTGTACGCTTCCAGTGGCGTCTCACATAGACTCTTGGGCAACAAGGATTGAGCTGGCCTAGCTTGGAATCCACAGGGTCCTCTGGACATAGTAACTCCGCCGCCCTTGACCGTGCTGCGCGACTTGACAGAGCTCAAGCTATCATGGCTGCAAGGAGTGTCTGTAGCCCGGTGCAACGAGCAATGTCGTTTCCTCTTTTGCTGGCCCTCCTGCCTTCTGCACTGGCCTCCTTCCCTGTCCCACCCGAGCAGACCAAAGAGCAGCTCAGTGACTCGATGCAAGAGAGCAGCCCACCTGCCTGACGAGAAGGGAATCACACCCAGGGGCTTATTAAACTAAGCCTAGGCTACCAAGAATGTAGTGCATCTTGCGATCGGACAGGCGTCTTTCAGAAGACAGCGGCAGCAGCCAAAGAAGCCAGCGACGCAGCCACACCCAAGGCCTCGGTCCTTCAGCAAATTCGCTAAGAGCCTCTTCTGCTTCCCTCCAGAGGGGAGATTTTTTCTGCAGGAGCTGAGTCGGTCAGCATACAGACAGGGACTCGAGTGCCTTCAAATGGTGTAGTCTCGTCTTGTCTGTCCCTAGCCCAGCACCTTCCTTCAGTATAGTATCTCGCAGCTCGTATGACGCGAGCATCGTCCAATGTTGGTCCGGTATCGCTCCTTCTTGTACTGTAGCCCGACGGAGCCATCTGGCAGAGGTGTTGGAGTTCTTCGATTCCGCCGAGTTTCGGCGGGTGCTGCAGGGCTGCTGTCCCGATGTCGCAGGGCTGAAGTCGACGGAGCTCCTGAGAAGGTGCCCGGGAGCTCTCGTCTTCCTACTTTCAGGTCAGGGCTTTGGTGCGCCGCTGCCCTTTGTTTTTAGCAAGCCTTTACTGGTCGGGCTTGCTCGTACACTGCATGCATCTGCATGCAGGATCCTTGATACTTGGTGGTTGGGACGGCTCTGTCGACATGAGCAAGAGCTAGGCTCTTTATCGACATAAGCAAAAGCTAGGCTCTTTACACCATATGCCTGTGGATAAGATGTGTTTTGGAGAGCGAGCTAGACGGACTTGCTGCACGTGCCACCCATGAAGTTCTGCATGTGGCTGCTCCTGGAGCACAAAACCTTCTGCACACTTTGGCAGGTACCGAGCAGAAGCTCAAATCGCGGAACTTTCCCATGCGGCTCGGATTGTAGTTCGACATTCTGTAGCGCGTGGGGGTGTGCATAAGTTGGGTCAGTATAGCAGCAGCTGGAGTGTGCTGCTGGAGACTCAAGTGATGTATTGGCCAGAAAGCCAACGCGGCTCTCGCACGGGTGGCCCGAAAATGGGATGGGCTTTGGACGCCTCGTCGACCAGGAAGGAGGCGGCCAAACAACAGAGGGCACACACTTGTCTGCCCACAGCAGC